TGCATGGCTAAGTATGTGGTAGGTACATGTTGTGGCCACACAGCTCTGGGGAGGTATCCTCTCCTTCTCTGAGTAAGGCTTGACTATAATTGTTAGTAATTGTTCACCAGCAATGATCCTATTTAACACACACACACACACACACACACACACACACACACACACACACACCAGCATCGAGCTCATGGAATCCACAGGGACTTCTGCTGTTTCTCTGATGCCATGTCTACCATGCCCACTTCTCAAATGAGGGCGACGAGGGATGGAGGTGACCCCCATTCAAGGTCACAGGAGGCCGAGGGTTGATTCCCCTAGGTGTCTCCAAGCTCAGTGAGGAGCCAGACTTGGCTGGCTCTACCCTGAGGAGAGACTGCAAGGATCGGAAATCATTCCTGCAAACCCATCAATCCCATCAATGGTGGGTCAGAGTTGACCTCACCAAGCTGTTTTTCAAAAAGGCAAAAAGTGCAGCTAACAGGATTAACTGTCAGCTCAGCCCCACCTGATGAGAAATCTTTCCATTTCTTCTGCCCCTGAAGGTCACCCATTCTCTGCTGGAAGTCTAGCCATTAGCCCCAAGTTCCCAAGTTTGGAGACAGTGCTATCCTGTCTTTGATGACAGACCCCTCCCCCATCACCAAGGCACAGGCTTTGCGTGGGGGGTGGCAATATCCCTTCTCTCCCAGTCCATCGATGGGGCATGCAGATTCCCACAGATTTATCATCCCCACTGGCTGCTCTGTGCCCTCCAGATACTTGCCATTGTAGCACTGACTTAGGTTTCCCATAGTCAACTCCCTTTTCCATGTGTCTGTTTAAAAAGAAGACAGGAGTGTTTGAACCTCAGCATGTGTCTGCATCACCGTAGTCTCATTAAAGTCAGAGCAGGCCCCTCTGTCAGTGCCTTTCTTCTCTCTCTGTGTTAATCAACCTATATTATTTGTAAAGAAACAATGACTTCACTATGATGTTCACAAGTGTAAATAATGTATTTCCATCAGTTTCATCGTTCTCTTATCCTCCCTCCCCTGCTGATACCCTCCACAGTCTCCATTCTACTTAATTTAAATATAGATTCCGATAATGAGAAGACAATGTGATTTGCCTTCCTGAGTCTGGCTTATTTCACTTCAAATGATGACTCCAGTTCTGTATATTTTCCTAAAGATAACATAATTTCATTCTTTCTTTAAGGCTGAATAATATTCTTCTGTGCTACACAACATTTTCCTTACCTGCTCATCTGCTGGCTCTATATTTATCTACTGAGACTAGAGGAGCAGTAGATACTGATGTACGGGTGTCTCTGTGACATGCAGAGCTGGATTCCTTGGGGTACAATTCAAGAGTGGCATAACTGGGTCACATGGTTATTCTGGTTTTGTTGTTTTGCAATGCCTTCATGCTGATTTCCACAGTTGCTGTAGTAGTGTATAGTACACAGCTCCCAGAGTCCTGTAGTGTCAGGTGGGGTCCGAGCCTCTCTCCCCTTCACCAGTTCCCAGTGCCTCTCTGTATAGCTGGCCAAGACGTGAATTTAGATCTGATGGAAGACCAGAATTGACCCCCACAAAAAGATGAGCAAGGGAGGGTCCTTGAGGGATTGGGGATCCTCCAAACAGCACAGGAGTCACTCTGATGGGAGGGTCCTGGGGCACAGTGAATTGTTCAAATGACACAGAGCAGTTATCTTTATGGAGTTGAGGGCTCTAATGTCCCCCACTGCTGTCATCTGGTGCCACCCTAGCTAGGAGGAGAGGGTGCTCAAGGCAAAGGCAGTCCTTTGAGTGCTGAGCCGTGGGTATGGGTAGCTCAGATCCCGGGGCACAGACCTGGGCAGAGACATGGGAGGGTGTCTGGGTGGGCACAGAGGGAGGAGGTGGGGGTAACGGGAAATCCACAGAGAATCACTACACAGAACATGCTGGGCCTGAGGCTCACCCTCCTTTTAAAAATTGACAAGCAGGGGCTTGGGTTATGATGTAGTTGGTAGAGTACTTAACACGCATCCCTGGGTCAGTTTCTAGGACCACATAAAATTAGGCATTGATGGTACATGCCTGTATTGCAAGCATTTGGGTTGTGGAGGCAGGAGGATCAGGAGTTCAAGTCCATCCTGGGCTACATAGCAAGTTGGAGGCCGGCCTAGACTGCAAGAGATCCTGATCCCCACCATACACCCAAAATTGAGAAGTGTTAGAAAGGTTTTAAGAATACGTTATTAGTATCACAGAGGAACCTTTGGATGGCGGTAATGAGAAGTTTTAGAACAATGGGAATTAAACTACTTCTTCATTCTTTGGTTCAACCCAATGTTTTGATCTTTGTGAGGAAATAGAACTGTGCCACCTACATCTCAGACACTGCTTCAGGGGACTTTTCTCTGCCTCTTGAGAGTGAGGTTGGTTCCTTGGGGGCAGAGCAGGCTCTGGTAACTAGGGCATCACTAGGCAGTCAGATGAAGTACAGAGGGAAGCATACCTTGGTCTGGGGCATGAGGTTGGGTTGTTGAGGATGGAGAGTCTGGTACTTGTACCCCAGAACTAGGCTGGGGTGATTGGCTAGATTCAGCTCTTTATTTTCTGGTTGAACTCTGGAGCACACACACGAAGCCTCCACCCATTTAACCCAAAGGAGCTACGAATAATAACAGGCTGGGCACAATGACACACTATTGTAACCCCTGAACTATGGAAGGGGAGTTGGAGTGCTGGGCCAGCCTGGGTTATAGAGTAAGACCTTATCTATGAAACATAAGCAATATAATAATAGCAGAAATTATAATTGTCATGCTAAGAGTAGCAACAACACTCATAATGAAAGTAAACAGCAGGCATTCATTACAGACCCAGCAATAAGGGACCCTGGGTCCCACCTATCTTCTAGCACCCTTAGAGGCACCTGGAACCCTTTCTGTTCACCTGTCAGAACATGCGTTTCTCTGTGCCCTCCAGCAAGGTTGACCAGTGAGAATTGCAGTAAGGCCCTGGTTGACATGGCTCTGAGACATTGCTTCCCAATGGTGCCACCACAGGTCAGACAGCTCAAGACAATTCTTCCACTGAGTGCCTACCCTCCTGTCTTTCCTGCATCCCCACATCTCCTAGTCACATTTCTTGAGGACATTTCCTTCATAAAGGATTGCAATGACTACTGCTCTGGGTAATAGTCTTCTCCTGGGTCCTCCTCCCAGACAACTATTGCACAGAAGAAATCATTGAGGTTCTGAGTGGGCCCCTGATGGCCAGTGAAACAGTGTGGATTTGATCCTAGGCCTCTTGGACCCACAGAGGTTCCTGGGCAAAGACAGAATGGCTGGCCCCCTCAGAACTCTGCTCTGCTGTCTTTAGAGCTAAGGAGGGGAAGCACCTAGTCAGAGGCACAGTCAAGCACAAAGAGAGAATGAGCCCATGCATACGAACTGGTCAGCCCACTTTCTCTACTCATACAATCATCCAATCCAGGACCCAAGGATTGAGTCCCACTTTTAGGCTGCTCTTCTCACATCAATTTACATTACTAAGAAAAATCCCTCACAGGCGCACCTACAGTCTAGCCCAATTCAAGAAATTCCTCATTGAGAGTCTCTTCCAAGCTGGTTCTAGATTGTATCAAGTTGACTGTTGACTGTCCTCATCTTCCCAACCTTGAGCCAGGTTTCTCTTTTCAACTGGCTCTTATGGCTATTTTGTGTCCAGCTCTCATAAGACAGAAGAGTCTTGAGTCCATCTCCAACCTGCCAGGCTTGACTCATAATTGTCTAACACATCAGTGTGGCTTGGATGGGAATTCACATTGGGTGGGTCTCCATTACTACTATTTATTCTCTGTCCCCTTCCATGGATCCACACATTCATTCCTCCCCAGTGACTCCATCTTTAGTGTTGACCTCAGTCAGAAGCCCCTAAGCCCCCTTCCCAGAAGTCAGCTTGTTCCTTCCACATAACAGCACCAGCAGATGAGTGAGAGACCATGGCCCTCACTGGGCTGACTAGAGTCTTACACAGTACTAAGAAGCCATTTATCCCCCAGCACAGGCCCCACAGCTCTTAGTATTACCCCACTTTATAGAAGAAGAAACTGAGACACAGAGTTCATTCCCGGGGCCCTAGTTGGGTGGCAAAAAGCTTGGGCTGACTAGATATGAACTGCGTGCTTAAGACATGGTCCTGGGATGGGGGTCTGCAAGGAATCCATAGAAACCAGAATAAAGCAGGTGCTGTACAAGTGACAAGCAGACAGGAAGAGGAGGGAATGACAGTGTATAAACAGGAAGACAGCAGCCATCCCTAAACTGGGTAGCAGTGCTAACAGCCCAAGATGGGTCGAATCGGTAAAAGAAGCCATGGCAACTCAAAAGAAGGGTGGAGGAGTAGCATCCTTGAAGAAGGGCTGATTCCAGTTTCTCACAGGAACCCTGTGAGCTTCCCTCCTGGTTCACCTCAGTGACATCATGCTCAGAGTCCTAGAGAAGGGCAGTGGCAGGTCATTTCTAGGCCAATGGTGAAATTAGGTCAGTCACCTGTATGCAGGAGAACAGGCTCACAGCAGAGCACAGCAGCTCCTGGGAGAACCATGGGCCACAGCCATGGGCCTGGCAGTGGTGGCTTCTAGAAGAAGGCAGGGCAAGATACAAAGGAGAGTGCAGAGCAGGTAAAGACATAAGCAAGGTTTGAGCTCAGATAATGGGATTAGGGATGTTTGTCGCTCAGGTAACAGAGAATCTCCCTGTAATGGACTTAGCAATAGAAAGTTTGCCCATGTAAAGCCTGCAGTAGGGTGATTCTCAGGGCAGAGAGGAAGGGACTCAGTAAAAGCACCTCACATGGCTCTGCCCTGTACCTGCAGTGTCAACTTCACCCCACACTGGTCCCTCAGGGTGCCACAGCCCAGGAAAACCTAGAGCTGAGCTTGGGTTTGCATTGACCTGCTGTTTTCAATGGATGATGCTAGCCAGATTGGGTGGACTGTTGCTCACCTGCTCCTGCCTCACTCTCCAGGGGTGCTGTGGCTGTCGGTGGTCTCTGAGGTGCTCTACATCCTTCTGCTGGTGGTCGGCTTCAGCCTCATGTGTCTTGAGCTCCTCCACTCCAGCAGCGTCATAGACGGGCTCAAGCTCAACGCCTTTGCTGCCGTCTTCACGGTGCTCTCAGGTAAGGAATATGGAGACCAATACCAGAGGACAACTGCTCATCACCTCCTTTTCCTCAGTACCAGGGGATGCTGTGCACCTGAACCTGGGTGCATCCTCTGTGAGGATGGAAGAGGGCAGGCTATTGCATCTTCTCTGAGCCCAGACCTACCATTTATAAATGTCCACAGCATGCAGACACGAAGGTATGGTTTATAGTGACAAGCATACCTAGGGCTACTGTGTGGTGCTTAGGTGAGTGTGAGGTGCAGCGGGGACATTTGTTGGATTTGGGCATGAGACCAGGAAGTAGTAGGGAGGGGTGCATGGAGGGGGCTCTCACAGGGCTACAGAAGAGGATTCCCTTCTGTCTGAGGTTGCTGCTTAGTGGCAGAGCACTTGCATAATGTACATGAAAACTCAAGTTCCATCGCTAGCCATGGAGACCAGGAAAAGAAGAAAGATAGAAGGAAAGAGGAAAGGAAGGAGAGAGAGAGAGGAATGAAAGGAAAGTGTCCATTTGAAGAGAAGATTTCTTCCCTCTTGACCCCCCCCCCACCTCACCATAGGATGCAGAGAGATGGAGAAAGCAAGAAAAGACCTTTGGCCCAAGATGCATAGTATCTCCAGATCCAAGTCAGAGTGCTGAGCAGACAGTGCTCTAGAAGAGTGTTGTCACTGTCCTTGGCACTGGCCAGCCATGCTGGCTGGCCTCTGAGAGACATCGGTTCCTAAAAGCCACTTGCAAATTGAATTTCTATAAACCTGACAATCCCATTTTTCATGCTCTGGAAGAGCTGCCATTGAATGAAATGGAAGGAAGAAGCCTTTGACAAGGGACATAATCGCCTCTAATTGAGGTATGTATAGAAACCAGAGGGATTTCTCGAAGAACAGAGAACTGAACTCAACAAGTTACATCCCGCTCCCCAGATCAAATGCACCTAGGGACCTAGGGAATTCCAGCAAAGGAGAAGGGTTTAGCAATGCACTAGCACAGCATCTGGCTCCCTCCAGTTCCCTGCTGCTCTCAGCTGAGACCCCCTCCTGCCCTTTGCTTCAGTATTTTATTCATTTACTCAGTCAACATCCACTGAAGGTCTGCTGGGTTCTAGTCACTGGCCTGGGGGGAGGGGTGGGGAATGAAGGAAAAGTATCTGTTCCTGTGAAGCTTGCTGTATTGAAGATAGATGTGAAGTTACCATGATGTGTCCCGGGCACTTCCCTGTCCCAGGCAGGAGAGCCATCCACACCTATCCAGGGAGTGTGATGCTGGAGGAGCCATGGAGGCAGGACTTGGGAAGCAGACTGTTTCCTTGACAGACAACCCAGGGAGGGGCTTGTGAGGAATCTAATCTAGGGGCTGCAGGTATTCAGAAAGGCAGGAAGGCAGAGGCAGGAGAGAAAGGTGCTGAGACTATGCTGGTAAGCTGGCGAGGACCTTGCTGCTTTGTAGCGGCCTTCCCAAGTTCATCCTGCAGGCAATAGGGAGGGAGTCAGGGATCAGTTCAAAGCAAGGGGATAAAGGAGCGACAGGATCAGGTTTGCACAGGGGATGAGTTCTGAGTTCAGGGTAGAGCCTGGGTGGAACCAACCAGAGTAGCTTGGCTGTAGGGAGCTGGGTACATGCAGACCTGTCATCCCAACCATTGTGGCAACTGAGATACAAGTACCAAGACTAGCCTGGGCTACAGACTGAGTTCAATGCCAGTTTGGGTAACCTAGTGAGACTCTGTTTTAAAATAAACGTTTAAAAGGGTGCTACGAGCATGTTTCCCCACCGGCCTGGTCCCACAGCTGCCGTCAGCCCCCGAATAACACACAGAGACACTGTATTAGATATAATGTTGTTGGCCTATTACTAGCATTACTTATTGACTAGCTCTGTCTTAAATATTAACCCATTTCTATCAATCTAAGTATTTCCACGTGGTCTATCTTACTGGACAGAGGATCGGACCTCTGTTCTCTCAAGTCCTGCATGTTGAATCTCTTCCTACTTCTCCCGGAAACCTCCTTGTCTCCTCGTCTTGCCTATCTTGTTTTCCTATTGACCAACAGTGCTTTATTTATTAACCAATAAGAGGAACATATTTACAAAATGTCAGCTCCCATCAAAAGGGGAGCTGGGGCTATAGTTCCGTGACAATGCTTTGCCTAGCACATATGAAGTGTCAGGGGTCGGGTGGGGGGTGGGTGGAGAGGCACAGAGAGACTGGGTATAGAGACAGGGAGGCTGCTGTGGAAATCGAGGTGAGAAATAGTGGATTCAGGAGATTAAAACAGGCACCCCCCTCCACTCAGAAGGTGAGGCCCCCTAGGCATTTGAGGCACTGAAGGAGCAGCCATTAGGGAATGGCTGAAAGGCGAGGTCAGGCTTGGAGTCCACAGAATTCAGAGTCTGTGAACCGGTTTGGAAAACAATTTATACCCTTATTTCTGCAGCTTGTAAATGTCACTTGTCATTTCCCCACACCGTGGTGATGGGGCAAGTACTGGGACGCAGTGACCTGCAGCACCCATCCTTTCCTCATCCCACGACAGGTGTTCTGACAGTCTCCAGAGCAGGGCGCTTATTAGGCATCCACCAAATCTGGTTTAACGTGTTCACAAAACAGCGTGCATGCTCCCACATGAAGAGTCCAGTTGCTTTGTTAAATGCGTTCCCCAAAATCTGTTCCCTCTGTAATTGTGTGAGTTCAATTTACACAGTTGAACTACTGTTCAGAGAATGGATCCACAGGTCCAGAAGACCAGGGAGCCCCCGACTCAGTCCTGCACAGGTTCCTAGTTGGCCCTTGCCTTTAAACAGGCTGAGTAGTGGGATGCCTAAGAAGACAGGATCCAAGAGGGACATGGTCGGAGTGCTGGAGGGGCCTGGCTGTGCTTCTCATTCCAGCCAGCAACCGCCTCTCTCTTCCTTTCTTCCCCTCTGCCCCTCATCCAGGCACCTCTCTCCCTGCCCTGAAGCCTCCAGCCCACCACCTCTCTACTTTCTTCAGTCCAAACAAGTGCCCATCAGTTGTTAGCCAAAGCAGCTTTAATGGTTACATTGTCAACTGGACAGGATTTAGAGACAAAAGTCTAAGTGTTTGTGAGGGAGGTTTGGATTGGGCTAACGGAGGAGGAAGACCCAGCTTCACCTAGAACAACGCCATTCCACAGGCTGGGCTCGCAGGCTGCGTAAAAATGAGAAAGTAGCTGAGCGGGCATGTTCCCCCTGCCTCCTGATGCTGCATTGTGCTCCAGCAGCCATGGTGGACTGTACCCTCGACCTGTGAGCCTCAAACAGGCCTTTCTTTCTTTAAGTTGCTTTGGTCAGGAATCACAGAAATGAGGGAAAGCAGCTAACATAGTCGCCATCTCCATCTCTACCCCACTTAGCTTCTTCCACAAGGCCTCTGCCCATTAAAAACAAAACAAAACAAAACCAGGCTCTTCCTCCCAGCAGAGAGGCCCACTGCTGGAGCTGCAGTAAGCAGGCTGTCTCTATAACTCCAGACATCTGAACAAGTCGGGGCTCAGGTTGGTTAATTGACCTGCTCTGGGTGGCACAGCTGGCCAATCATGGCACTGGAATTAAGCCACTTCAAACTGCCTTTAAAGGGTCTGTACTGCTTTCCCAGAGTCATACTGTGGGTGTGATCACGTGAGAGGACAAAGAATTTTTTTTCAGTCAATCTTCAGAAAGCAGAAACTCAGAGGTTAAGAGCAGCCAGGTGAAGTGGTGGAAGAGAGAACGGTTTAACATTTATTCCTAGGAAACATTCCGGAGCAAAGCTATTACAAAGACTGGTGTCCCACCTGCCAATGGAAAGACTCGGAAAGCTGGATTGGGGTGGCCCCTCTAGGACTTTGGAGGGGTGGAGTGGATGTCAATGGGTCCCTCTGGGTGGGTAGGGAGCTCCCGAAGTCCAGGAAGACGGGCAGTACAGTCTGTACAGAAGCAAGGCCAGTGCTGACTCCCGGGGTGCGTTGGGCCCCGCCACCTGCTGAAGCAGATGAGACCAAGGTGAAAACGTTCCTGTGCTAGAGGAGAAAGCAGAGCCAGGCAGTTCTGATGCAAACACGTTATTAGGGTTAATTAGCAATTATGAAAATTAGCCCACTGATTATAGTTGCTCATGATGGCAGCATTATGGGGGAGACAGACTCCTGTGGGCCCAGTGTGACTCAGGCCCCTCTGAGTCTTCGTGGAAACCAGGCCTGACCTTGAGCTCTACCCTTGGCCTGCTTAGTCTGGTTTTAATAAGAATTTGTTGAATGAAATCTCCCACCATTAGCAAGGCAAGGTATCACATTCCTATGAACCCATCATTCAAGAAGTCGAGGCAGGAGAATTATGAGCTAGAGGCCAGCTTGCTGTCTCAAAGTAAGAAAGGATCCAACTGCATGGCACCAGGCTGGAGGGACATAACACTTCAGAATCCTAAGCATGCAATACATACCAAGGTGCTGTCTAGAGGGTGTCCTGTTGTTAGGGTTGGGCTGACTTCTCATAATGTCTCTAGCCAAAGTGTCTGCACGTCTGCTTCTCCAACGGTGGTACCACGCAGTGGGGCAAGCCCGCCACCAGCTCACTCTATCACTCCTCAGAGTATGGTGGTGAGGGCTGGGCTGATGTTTCCACTGTACAGGTGGGAAGCTGGCTTGTCTGCCTGGTGCCTGTCATGCTGAGCTGCCTGGAGCGAGGCTTAGCCTGGGACCTCAGGCTGCCACCATCATCTGTATTCCTAGCTGTCCTTGAATATACTGAGAGGTGGGTGATGGCTGTAGATAGCAGCCTTCTGCAGGCCGGGCCTGGCTCAAGGGCTCATGTGGGACCCACAGTGAAGCGTGTCAGGCCTAGGTGACTATCTGGTGTCTCTAATAGCAGTGATTGTACAGGTGGCGATCCTGAGGACTAGAATGGCAGCGTGGCCCCACTGTTTGCTCTGTGAACTTGCCGGGCCTCAGTTGGAGGAACTCACACAGTGCCCTCAGTTCAAGAGCTTAAATTTGAAGGGAAAAATCAAACTCATG